GATATTTTCCAATCTATTCAAGCTACAATTGTTGTAAGTTTGTAATTTTTGTATTGTCTGTTGTTTCTTATCAAGACTAGAACACTAGTATGCGCAAGCAGCCACGTATATAAGTTTCCGTAGGGGTAACCTTCACTTCGCGGCTAGCATACAAAGTACATAACCACGAACAGATGTGGGTAGTACACCTTACAAAGTATTTTTTTCTAATATTTACCAATTACGAATAACAAGAGTAAAAGATAGAGAATAATCGGAAAATATCATAGGAGACTACTTTTAACAAATATTTTGATGGCATTTCAACCTAAGGGATGATGACCGAATTTTGGCCTATTCAAACGTATATGTCGCTCGTGCCATTCCTGCTACTGGCTACAAAACCAGTGAAAATATTTGTAAACACAATGTTAATTTACAATACAAATTACCAGGAAAATGGGATACATTTAGTCTAGTTCTTTTCGTGTACAAGTTGATGATTGGATGCTCTTAGACTACACTAACTGGCTTTGCTGCTGTGGATGGTGGAAGCTGAGGAAGTCAGAGAAAGATAAAGTAAAAGAACCAGTGAGGCCCAGGTGTAAGAACAAGTTGTCAACTGTTATAAATCGCCTGACAATCGATAACTGAAACTGTTATAGTTGGTTGCAATTTATGCTGACTGCGTTAAAAACTGTATCAAGTTTCTTTAGAAATGCATTAATAAATAATAAATGCATTCGTAAATTTTGCTCATCTTTGATTCATAGCATATTTTAATTGATTTCTTTGTATTTTCCTCAACGGTCAGTTGCGACTAGTTCAAAATTTTAGTAACTGGATTATAGAAAACAAGTTTGTTTTTACTTCTTCCATTTGAAATTATTTAGAAGATAAAACTGAAAAGAGAGTCACTTTGATGTCATGCTTTACGTACATACATACATAAATACATGCATGCATGTATACATAGTACATTACTTTATTTAACCTCGGATTTTAGAGTAGCCAAGGACTGGTATCTCCAATGCGCACTGTACGACCACTGAAAAATCGCAGGGCACATATCAACGCTGAAGAGGTGTATTGCCTGATACCCGCCCTCTGATTTGCTACCACGTGACTCAACACAGCCAGAAAAATCGTGTGAAAATTAATCAGTGGATTACAATCAAATATATAATTTGCTACCATTACATGAAGCAATGAACTCATGATTATATCCTTACCGGATGAGAGTGACCTTAAGATACATCGTTTCTTTCTACGGGTGTAGGTGGATGAACACATGTTTGCCTGAAAGTGACAACAATTTCCCAGAAATGATAATATTATGAACCTTCTACCGGGTAGCCTATCCGCCTCTCCGGGGTAGGAAATTCACCAGATTAATGGTTAGCTATAAAGGTAATTTATCCCTTACCCGTGGCAAGGAAACTGTGTATCTACATTTTACTTGTATTCATCACAGCATCAGGTCCAAAATTGGTAGGTTCACATTTCTCCTATCATTGCCTTCAGCAGCACGAGCAATAACTTAAATATCTCCTTGATATATAGAGCATACATTTTACTGTCAAGAATATTAATCGAGACATGGTCAAAGCATGCAAAAAAAGCTTTTTTTTATGTACTGCACAATTCTAAGATCCATGAAACAATCTTTCTAATGTTTTACAAATTGTTATATTGATAACGATATATATGGTCAAAAGTACGTTGAATTTGATCGTCCGGGTGAACGTAGTCCTGAATAGGACTGTTGTTGTTGACAGTGACTGACGTTTCGACAACCTGTGCGGTAGTCATCGTCAGAGTCAAAGTGAGTTTTATCACGTCAGTTGATGGTATTATACTCTGGTTATTGGTCTGATTGGTCAATTACGTCTCGATGTTATTGGTCGTCTGTCAGTTAAGCCGTGATGTTATTGGCTATGAAGACTCGTAATCAGTAATTGGTGCGTTTCAATCCGTCAATTGTCACAGTTAAACAGTTAGGTAAGACAAGCTGCAAGTTAGAACTAGTCTTTCGTCGCAGGATGCCGTGCTCATCAAGTTCCAGCTTGTTCCATTCCCGTAGAAGATTATTAACACCGAGGGGGTCAAGCACCAATGTTTTCCATAAGGCTTGACTCCAATGGATTTGTAGTAGGTAACAAGGTTTATAAGAACGTCTAGTCTTTGCGGTTCTTTGATTTCTTGAATACTAAGTGGTTTAAGTTTTAGTTCCTGCAGGGTGGGTTCAGAAGTTGTCACATCGATGGTAACTGCTGTTATCCAGGGGATCCTGCCGTGTGACTGTTCCCTCACTGCCTCAAAAGTGGTTCTCAGAACGTCCGGAGATAATTCTTCCGTACAGGTTCCCATGTAGGTGTTCATGTCAAATGTCATCCTAGACAGGTAGTGTGCATCAATGTTAGTGTCTCCTGGGTGATATTTAATAGTATATTTGATAGTAATATCATCAAGATAGGGGACACATATCTCATCCCGCAAACCCTCTAAACAGTTATCCATGTATCTTTGGTAAGCGGCAGGGGCATTTTTCAACTCGAACTGAATACGGTTCCACTGATTTAAGCCCCAAGGTGTAATAAAAGCTGTCCGGTGGCGATGTTCCTCAGCTATGAAGCCCTGATGATAAGCTTTTCCTTGGTCAAGGACTGTGAAGTAGGTATTACCACTGAGGCTGTTTAAGATGTCCTGAATACGAAGAATATGCTGGCGGTCGTCTCGGGTCTCACTATTCAGTTGGCGGTAAACTTAAACTGTAAACGTTTTTTTCTAACACAGACCCCTGGTGACGAGTATGATGACTTTGATTGCTTATCATTCTGCGATTAATCATGTCTGGTAAGTGTTCTTTGACCTCACCGCACAGGGCTTTGGGGTGGAGGTATATGCTGTCTGTACTGGTTTATCATCTACCACATTGTTCTAAATCTCGAGCACAATCAACATCCCTTGTACTATTGTCGCCTGTTCCTGTGATCAATGACCGAGGTCAACTGGTGGGACCCAAGACTCTTGCTAATCCAAAGAACCACTGGAGATTCCCTCGTTTACCACTCGGTTTTCACCACTGTTCCCATCTGTGGTGTCCTTCTCTGACTATTCTACCTTGTTTTCAAACGGTACTGGAGTTACCGACTGAACAAGCTCCACTGTACCTAATTCAGTTCGCTTGTGTAACGTTATATCTCTCTGCGTTGTGTTACATACTGGTACGTATATTCTGCTAGAGGAGCCACCTTGGATTCAGGTGAGACTTTCTTTTACCTCTACCCCCTCAGGCCACGCCCCTTCGGCTTTGGGCTCAAAAACAACTGGTAAATCTTCCTCTACTGGGCCAAAATGAATTGTGCATTTGACTCGCACAGTTTCCCCTGGCGTTAGGTGGACATCGTGCTTCCCCACCCTGATAACACCTGTATCAGACTCCTTCTCCTTAGCTTGCATGAAATTGCATTAAATATTGCCTTGACTTCTGAAAGGCATAGGAATGCAGTTTGGACAAGGCGGGTCATGTCATGTTCGATACCGATGCTGCTCCTTTGTTTTACTACCTCTTCGATGACATTAAATCCAATATGGAATATCCTTGGTTATCTTGCCTACCCACTAGAATGGGAACTGTTATTGGCTCTGACTGTCCATATTTTCCAAGCAACTGAAATTCTACCTCAATCCTGCTATCATACAAAAATGCAGTACCATTTGCAACCTGCAGGTCCAGTTCACGTTCCCCCAATAACTCACTTATATCTCTCACTAGCACGTCGGGTAGATAGGCGTCATTCCATGACTTCGATATGATGGAAACCTGAGCTCCCGTGTCCCAAAGGGCATCAACCTTCTTCCCTTCTAGTAAACAGCTTACGATATACCTTCTCCCTTCCAACTTAGTCAACTTTGAATGCTGGCGTGGAGTTAAGTGGACAGGAACTGATATTTTTAAGTCTTCTTCCCCTTTTCCGGACGATTGGTTCAGTGTTTCCATCTCTCTCGTTGCTTCACAAAGTATCTTATGCTCGCTCCAAATGATCTTGTTGGCACAATTTTGAACAATACCACTGGCATGGCATTGTGAATAACGAAGGTGTCGACCGGTAACACCTTTCAGTATGTACTAAAACAGTGGATAGTGTTTTTCGCGCGCTCTGATAGCGCTGATACTCAATTATTGAATATCCTAGACTATTCACTGATTCACCTCCAGTTCCTCCGAGCGAGCTACCCCAAACTTGGGTAAGATGCGAACAAAATGCCTTCCCGGTTTGCTGCTGTAACGAACAAAGAAATTTCACAACTAATCAAGCAAGCTGTTCCCGAAATACACGAAGAAGGTGATGAAGTTCGGTTTGGAAGTTTTAACAGGTAAAGCTTTGTCTTTTTGACTCGAATTTATCGATAAAACCGGTGAAAAAAAGTTTTGTTTACAAATACAAATTAAGCTTAAGTCTTGCGTTACTTTATTTAGTTGACTTGTTAATAAATAAGCTTAAAACTAAATTTAATAATCTTTTTTTACAGAATGATTTTAAATACAAAAAGAATTCACAACTCCTTTTGAAGAAATTTCCCCGAAAGAGCTAAACAAATGCCTTCAAAAGTTTTATTTGTCGGCAAGAAAAAGCGACGGCCGCGTTCGGTCATTACACGCCAAAATTGTCATCGTTGGCAACAGTATCAATTATCTCACTGTTTTAGTATATACTAAAACAATTATTCACCTCAGTGTCGGTGGCTTGTGGTGGATATTTACCTCGCTGCTTCGCCGCTGGGTAAATAGCAACGACTAGCCACCTCCACTTCGGTGAATAATTGTTATCTATTCTCCCACACTTAACACATGTTCGGGACTGTTTCAGCATATTCAGGGTTGCTTCCTGTCCTGTGGGAGCAACCCCAGTCCGTTTCCCTGGAAATATGCCTAGTTTTGAGCTTGTGATCTCCGACAATTGTAGCTGAAATGGCCACTCCTTCCAAAAATAAAGCAATGGGTACATTGGTCCCCAAAGCCTTCTCTTAGACAATCTGCACACCCTCTGGGCCGTACCCTCTCTTCATTTCTGAACCTGTATTGATCTGGGGTGGTGTTGCGATGTTGTTTCCCTATGGACTCCCTAATGGCAGCAGGCTCTGCTTTCATTTCCTGTACTTCTGTAAGAAGGTTGGGTTTTGTTTGCTTCTGTGGATGGTTTGTGTCCCCCCAGTTGGTGTGTCCTTGGTGGAGGTTACTTGAGCTACATGTGGTACAGGGTTTGTACTTGGGGCAAGCCCATTAAGTGAACCAAGTTTCTGCTGCTGACAGCTCCATTTAGTTTTCCAAACAGTTCCTCATCGATCAGTAACGTGAGTGTTTTTGAGGCATGGCTTCAACTGTAATTTAATACAGTCACTTCGAAGACCCGTCAGCAATGAGTGTAAGAACATACACTGAACAAGTTTGAGGCCATACTTCAAATCAGAATCTGCCTCTTGTGAAGCAAATAGTACGTTCTGTTTAAGGTCAAGAAGCGCGAACCAAGGAGTCCTTGGGGGTCTCTCTACCCTCTTGCACCCCAGAACTAAGTAACTGGTACATTTCAGTAACTTCTTTCTCCTGATAGTGTGATCAAAGGATCTTGGGTACATTTACTAAGGTCAGATGAGGCTTACCTTCCAGGTGCTCCTTATCCTCATTCCAGGATTCACCGCACAGATAACCGTCTCTATTACTTCCTCTTCTTTGTAACCACGATTTAATCCAGCGTTAATTTGATGGGCCAAGCTAGTAAAGATGAGTCGGTCTTTCTGACTCGAATCTCCGATCTGCCCAAAATTTTGAACTCCTTTTTAAACATTGTCGTGGTAGAAACTCCTTCAAGGACATTCACACTAGCTCCCGTGTCTGACTTTTGCATCGCAGCTGCTCCTTTGTCATCAGGTTCACGTTTAGCCTTTGTCGCCTATCCTTTTGCACCCATCTGCTCGACCACAAATCTCAGCTCCTTCAACTTCTTAATATCCAGTTCCTCAGCGTCCAAATATTTTGTAACTATTTGAATTAGATTGAGGCGGCCTGTGTCTTTCTCCTTCAGTTCGATGTACAACTCGGTACATAGTTCTCGAAGGTATGTTTCGCTGAGGCGACAAATCCCCGCTCTTAGCTCGATTTGTCTCCTCAATTTGCTTGATTTCGTTGGCCTTTTCGTTCAGTATTTTTAAAAATCACGTCGGGGTCACTTAATGTTACGCTGTCCTCACCCTCCTTTAACTTTATTTGTCGATCGAATAGAATCCGTACAGTAACTATCTTATACTCTTGAAAACACCGGGATTTTACATATCCCATCATGCTTTTGGGTCTTAGCTCCAGACTTCTACATCCTACACACTAACCATATCCAGTAATAACAGGCAGCCCGGTTAGCAAAGGTTCCATCGCCAAACCAGCTTTCTCTGCCAATTTACGCACTTTAGATATCAGATTCAAACTAGGCAATATATAACCATCCAGATTAGCCCCTAAATTAAAGCTTAGAAAACCTTCTCTTGTTAAATGCCGCCTGAATTTTCTGAGTATTAAAGATAAAGAAAGCCTGCATTTTTCCTTTACTAAATTTACATGCTCTACAGTTCCAAACCTTTGATAAAAATCAGTGGTTGAGTGTCTATAATAGTCCTGCTTGTACCGTAAACTTGTATTCAAAGACCAACCAAGTTTTTAATCGCTCTCTTGTAACACAGTTGTCATCCCTAGACAATTCAGTGAGTAAATTTAAACCCTTAAGCCTTTTTTCACTCGTTTTAGATAAATTTCTGCTTTTTACAGCACGTACCTTGAAGTAATCTACTAATTTTAAGGCTTTATTAATAATCCTTCTTTCTAAGGATCCCACTCTAGGATGGAAAAAAGTATCGTCGTACCCCCTCTAATATCAAAACCACTTTTCATTTTACATATGTCCTTAACTTAGTCTTTGTAGGTCGTTTTGCTGCCTGCGAAATGGTCCACATGTTGCAATAAAGCAAGTTCTGTTTGTTGCTGCACCTCTCTTTGTCTCTCTCTTGCACCAGCAATACCATATCTTCTAGGTACAAAGCCATCCCCACAACAACTAGCCAAAGTTAATATTGATCATATTTTAATTGGAGACTGTGTAATTAGACCAAAAGAGGTAGTTAAGAACTTAGGGACATGGTTAGACTCGACTCTTTCAATGAATTCTCATGTAAATAACACTTGTTCCAATGCTCTTTATTACTTGTATAATATAAGAAGAATTAGGAAATATCTTTCTAGGCAGTCCACTGAGACGCTCATTCACGCATTTGTCTCAAGTCGTGTCGACTATTGTAACAGCTTGCTCTCTTGCCTGCCAGCTTACCAGTTTAATAAGCTACAGAGGGTCCAAAATGCGGCCGCTAGGTTAATTTTCCTGGAATCTAAATACTGCCATGTAAGACCGTTGCTGTATAATCTGCACTGGCTGTCGGTTAAATTCCGAATTGACTTTAAGATATTATTGTTAACGTATAAGGCTATCAATGGCTTAGCGCCTTTTTATCTCCAGGAACTTATTAGTCTTAAAGAAGCATGTCAATACAAGTTTGCGAGGCTAACACTACCTGACGATGATTTGGGACACTTTAAGTTCTGAAATTGTTGCAATCCTCTAGCTAGAAAACGACGACGACGAGGAGTTGATACCTTAAGTAACGGGATAAGTTAAAGGAGTAGCCGCCCAGTAGCATCTTTTAAAAAGACACTCAAGACATTTTTATTTCAGAAAGCTTTTTTGTGATTTTATGTGCTTTTTAATCTCGTTTTTAGTAGATTTTATGCAGTTTTTTTTAGATTTAAGTAGTCTAGGTAATTTTTATAGTTTTAGTGTTGACATAATTGTTTTACTCTTTTTGGTAGGTTCATGCACTTTTTGCATGTATACTTTATGCACTTATTATTATTATTATTATTTTATTTTTACTTTTTTTAATATTTTATTTTTAAGCACTGATGAAAATAGCAATATTGATATCCGCGCTATATAAGTATTATTATTATTATTATTATTATTATTATTATTATTTGGTATCTCGCGTTCTTCCAAAGAAACCTCCAATCACAGACAAAAGTAGTTGGGAAGGTTGTACAACTTAACAGTAGTCCATTTTAATCCTGACAAAAGAGAGTTTTCTCTTTTGCTAAATATTCCCCGTCTCCCCTATTCAATGTTGAGATATTACAGAACATGCAATTACGCGTACAAATAATATATAGATTTAGCTAGGGCTAAAAGCGCGGCTCCCATTAATAAATTTATAATTTAAATCAAACAATAAACTTGTATTCCACAATTCAGTCAACTTTAGAGAAAGGCGAAGTGATTTTACAAAAAATAATTTGCAAACAGCTCAAGAGTGAACCAAATCTCACATCGAGTTGATAGCCTCATAAGTACACCCAGAAACTGGCAATCATCTTCGATCACATTTATTAAGAGTCGTAATGGCTCTTGATCACAGTAGATTAATTAGGCCTGGAAAAAAATTCCGGCCGAATTTTTTGCGTTCGACAAGTTTATTTTACAAAATCTTGCCAAAAAATCTGGGTGCGTGTAAACCAACCTTTTATATCATTTATACATCACATCTGAGGTGAAACAGTACTATGAGGCACTGTTTGTATCATACAGACCTCGGACAACAGAATGCAGTATTTCACAATATTGCACTACAAATTGCCATTCAGGACGATCGAAGCACGCGTGGGCTTTAGCCATAAACCGTTGAAAAAAATTTCAAAATCATCTATACGGCCAGCCGGTTCTGACTTTTCTAGTGCTAGCAGTGGCGAGTGTTTGAATG